GGTGCGCTTGGCCGGCCTCCTGCCCAGCCCGCGTCATCTTCTTCCCCCGCGGAATGCTGACGGGGCGCTTTGCTGCGCGGGTCGGGCAGCCTGATACTTGGAGTTTGGAGCTGCATTATGGTGGGGACTTGGGGTGGCGGGTGGCGGGCGGCAGGGGCTGCTCGGAGCCAGAAACCGGAATGCCTGGGCTTCACCGCACTGATGCCTGGCCTTGCCGCCCCTCCCTTACATGCTCCCTCATCCCTCCTGGGCTCTAACTAGAGCTTTAAATTAGTTTTCTTAATGAGGGCTGCGGGGGCGGGAAACAGTGGAAGGAAAGACCAAGTGTGAGGAGCGGGGAATGACAACCTGGGAAAGATTGAGGTGAACTCCCAGAGCCCACAGCGCAATCCACAGTTCATTCATGCCTCTGCAGCCTTGGTTCTGTGTTACCCCTTTTCTCTCCCCTGTGAGTTTCACCTTTGAGCCCCTCTCCTCCGGACTCCTGGGAGAACTGCGTGGCAACCTGCAGTAGCCATGTGCTGGCAAGGGAACTCTGGCCCATTTTTGTAGCAGAGGAGAGCCTGGGGCTTCTTCAGAGGAGACTAGATCGGCCTTTTCTCCACTCCCTAGGAAAGACCCTCTATCTGCTGAGGGTAGGTTAGGTGCTCTGTGGCTAAACCCTGAGACACACGTCTAACAGAATATGCCATCGTTTTAGTGTGCTGTCCTTTCCAGTGCTGCCTCCAGATTCCTCATTCCCCATCCCACCCTGAGTGGTACCTGGTAAGCTTGCTTGTTAAACCTTCCCCACCTGCACGTGGGTTGTTGCTTAATAAGAGATCTAGGATTTATCAGCTTTATAGATTCTGTCACACCCATAATCTTAGTATTGTTTGTCACCCAATAACCTGAACCTCCTTAGATTTGCCATTATATTTTGGAAGTCCTACAAAGTTCCTTTGTAGGCAAGTTAGTGTCCCCATTCTTTACCAAGACTTTTTTGTTTGCATTTGTGGCCAAATAGAAATGTTAATAGTTAATTTTTGTTGGACCCTTATTCCTTGTGTGGCACTGTTAATCTTGCCATCAACTCTATTAACCAATGGGTCACAGTGTCGCCTATGGTCACATATTAAGTGGTGGGGCAGGATTTTAACACTGGGAAACCTCAGATAGATGTCAAGGCACTTGGATGTGGAAGGGATTCCCCAAAGTATTCTAATTTATTAGTATGTTTATCTACTGTGTACCATCGTGCCTGTAATCTCAGCACTCAGGAGATGAAGGCAGGAGTGTCTTGAGACTAGGCTGGGCTCTGAAGCAAAAACCTATCTCAAAACAGTTGTATATCTTTTAGTTTTAATCTTCATTTATACCCCAGTTTAGTAATTGCCACAGTTGTATCCATTTTATAGGTGCAGACATTTGCCTCAAGCAAGTAGTATCTTGCTTGTAGTCCTACATCTAGAAAGTAAAGAGCCAAGTTTTCAAGTCAGTCTTAAACCCTGAGATCAGTGTTTTAATCACTAACAAAAACATCTACTGTATCTACTCTGCATAGACTAAATGAGGAAAGCTCAGGGGAAGACAGTGGAGGTGATATATAATAGAAAAATAAGATGGTAAAAGAAGGAAAGGAAGGGCTGAGAAAATAAATCCTTTAAACTTATTTTATTCCTGACCAGTCCAAAAAAGAAAAGAGGAAAAAAAATGAGAGAAATGGAGTAAGTCATACTGATACTGGGGTTCAGTTCTGTCTCCTTAGTGGTTCTTTGTATCTTGACTAAAACTCCATTTGCACACCCTGAGCTTCAAGCAGGACACTACTACTGTCTTATGGAGCCAGGAAATATGAACCTAGCCTGACAAGGCTCTGTGAAGGAGGGTCCTCTCAATGCCACAGTTGGCACTGAGCTAGTAGAGGGCTCTAGTGTTGGAGGAGACCAGGGCCTGAGTCTGGGTGGCACACTGGATATGACTGCTCCTCCATCTTCAGGCAGAAGAAGGGCTCTGCCTAGGCTGGTTTCCTGCCTGTGTAGGCAAACTCGGGCCCCATCTGTTAAGCTCTAGGCCCAGCAAGTAGAAGCTGCTGCCCGCACGCTGTGAAAGTAGATGGAAGGGTAGGCTGACTTGGATCAGACCAGTGCTTAGTAATGAGCTTGTCTCATAATAAATATTTGGAACTGCTATTGATTGATAACGGGAGTATTCCCAAGCTGGAGCTCTATATGGGGCTGCCTTTGCCCTCTATAGGCCAGCTGGGCTCTGGAAGCACCTCAAACCCACAAACTGAATTTAAGATGAGGCTGTGGAGCCTTCACGGCACATAGCCCTTTTGACCTGAAAGTGGCCCTACAGCCTCTCATCTTAGTAAGCCCTAGTACTCTCTAGCTGTATTGTGTTGCCACCACAACCTTTGGCTCTGACTGCATCCTTGATTTGGAGTAGTGCCACCAAGGAATAAGAAGAAAGGAAGGAAGCTCAAAGCTGAAGAGGAACAGAAGGAAGACTGCTGTGTTGAGAATGTTTTCACATACAGTTTCACACAAGAGACCTGTGAGAAAGCTGAAGAGGCCAGGGAAGAAGAATAGGCCTGCAGAATGATTGGGATACCTGAGTTCTAGTCATTTTTCTACCCCTGATTAGACATGTGGAGAATCCTAAAATAGTTGTTTTGTTGGTTGCTTTGTTCATAAAATCAAAGAAATAGACTATAAAGTTCCATGTAATTCTGATAGTCCATGATTCCTTCCCTTCTTACTCGTGTAGCTCTGTAAAGAAAGTTGATCTTTGGGATTGTAGCCAGGTCTTGGAAATGGGCCATGAAGCTGAGAAGAGAATGCTTCCTTCAGTTTAATCTAGAGATCCACGGAGAGAAGAGCAGATCAGACTTTTCCCACCTTTTAAAAAGGCTCATAGATCACAAAATGTTAACATTAAAAGAGACCTTGGAGATTATCTGAGCTTAGCCTCTCATTTTACAGATGTTGTTAGGAAGCTCAGAGAGGCACAGTGACTTACGTAAAGCCACATGACTTATATCAGAGTCTGTCTTTTGAGTTCAGTCCTTCTGTCAATATGTTGATGTGTAGGTAGTCAGTGTTTAAACCTGCAGCTTGAAGATATTTCCAAATGTCTGACTTCTGTGGTCTTTTCTATAGGTGCTATTATATTTTGCTGGATTCGGATAACAATTGGTCTTAAATACAATTGGTCTGCCATTCAGAGTGACTTTGAACCTCTAATAGGAAGTGGAAGAATGGTCATTTATATGACTGCCTGGGCAAAGAGGCCCTGGAAGTGCCCTGGCCAGAGCACTCCCCACCGTGATTTGCATTACATCCCTGAGACGTTATCCTGAGCAGCCACTAGATGTCCATAATGCCTCATAGGGTTTGCCAGCAATGCTGGATACCATCTTACTTCCAGTAGGCCTTTAGTCATCCTTAGGGAAGGACCATCAGTGGCAAGAACAGAACAACCACAAAGATCAAAGAGAGTTTGTGATAAAAGAGGAGAAGGAAAAGGATAGTATAGAAATTGCCCTTCAAAGAGAGAAGGAAAGGGCCAGGGATA